TTGAACTTGGGTTACCAGCCCTGAGCCATCTCCCCAGCCTCAGAGAAAGATTTCATAAAGCCAGAGGGACCAGTGGAAAGATACTTATAAAACAAACAAAAACATGTTTCTTATTCTGGGGGTATTATGTTTATAGCACAATAGTTTGATAAAAGAAAATTAAGAAGGGATAGCTTAGCATTGTGATAGGTGGAGTTGCTGTTAGAACTTTGAATAAACTCAGAGAAAGGCTTCCATAGCTGTTAGTCATTTCGACATTAATTCAAGCTCACCTGGAACTCTCTCAATAGAAAGCTTATTTTCTCAAGGGTTGTAAAAACACTGCTAACACTTTCCCGTGATTACAGGAATCAGAGTTTAGATGAAATGTTTAACACAAATTATCTCACTTAATCCTTAAACCACTGCTGTTGTTTAGATTATTATTCCCATTAAGAAGCTAAGAAAAATGATCTTTAGCAAACTGCAATTTGTTTAATATGTGCACAGCAAACATGAACTAGGGTACAGCTGAGGGGCCAGGTCATTACATCTTGTTTGATGTGTAATGGGGCCCTTTGAAGGATTTTAAGCAGGGAAATGGTATAATTAGTAGGATTACTGTTTAATTAGCCCTGAATGAGCCTGGGCTGAAGGCAAGCTGGAGTAGATGCAGGCTAGTCTAAGGGCAAAGATGGTGGTGGCTTGGACATGGGAGAGACCTAGAAATATATTTATACCATAGAGATGACAGCACTTGCTGAGGGACCGACACCTGCCTAGCTCACCAACTGTATCAGCTGCCCTAGCACCATCTAGTATACTCTAGCCATACAGATCTGCTGGCCCTTGAGATGCACTAATACATGTGTTTGTTGCATGAAGCAGTCTGTCTGTCTGGAATGCTTTCTTCTCCAATTCCATTCTGTTCTTATATCTTATCCAACAGAATTCAACTCAAGGTCCATTCCCCAGGGAACCCTTCCCCGAAACCCACAGCCTCAGGTTTGGTACCGTGTTGAAGTTTTCCTTGATAGACTCCAATTACACTTCTCTCACACTTGTCAATTTACTGCATGCTTGTCTACTTTATTGACCTTCACATTCTCTTTCAAGTGTAGGAACTGTGTTTGTTTTGCTCATCATGGTTAATACAGTGGCCATGTATGCAGAGTTCTTGGAGGCATGTTATTCAGTGAATATGTATTAAGAAAATAAACATCTGATCCCAATGCCCTTTTACTTACTGTGCTGCAGACATCTGCTGATTTAAAAAACAATTTCTTCTTCAGTCCTGGCTTTCCTAACACAACACATTTCTACCAGGAAGCAGTGTTTCCTTTTTCAGTCCCTTGGCGGATACGAACTGTAATTCTCGGTGAAGAAGAATGTTAAGGATGTGAAGATAAAGCTGATAGAAAGGCTTGGGGCATGTGAATTCTTATTCATTGGTGGAGGGAGCACAAACACTACAATCACTGTTTGGGGAAACAATTTAGCAATATATAAATCTTGTAATACATATGAAAATATTTAAAATGTTTTTGTATGCATTTACCTGCCCCAAAAATATAGAAGCCAACCTGTTTATCACAGTTAAATAAGCACTTCTAAACTTACTGTTATTCTGCTAAAGGAGCACAGCAGTAAAGTGAGTCCCAGTGGCACACTGCTATATTCGTATCACTGTGGCACTCAACCCCCAGAAGCTTCTTGCAGTGGATGGGAATTAACAGACACCCACTGATGGTCAATGTGCAGAGTGAGAGACTTGGAGCACTGCTCCTAAAGGAATATGTTTATCAAAGCCCTCCCATCAGCGCTCGGGGATCTGTGTGGAAGAGGAGGTGGAAAGATGGTGAGAGCCAGCGGTGTGGATGACTCCGAGGAAACAACATTCCACACACAACAGGGCCGATGTACGTGTGAACAAGAGGAGACTGTGACAGCGTGTACAAGACCTGCGTAAGGTCAAGCCAGACAGAATCAGAGCATGAGAAGGGGGATGGGCACAGATCTCACTCCATGTGTGCCTTGTGAGCATTTTTTTTTTCTTTTAAGAGAGAAAGAACATGAAGTTGAGTGGATGGGAGACAGATTTAACAGGATGTGTGGCAGGAGAATATGACCAAACTATATTGTATGAAATTCTCAATAAATAAATAAAAACATAAAAAGGATACTTCTCGAGTTTGAAATGGCAAATGGAACAGCTCCCTATTTTTGTTCTTAGTGGAAAATTATTACTTTTGTGTAAAAGATAAAACCAGAAATAAATCTTCATACTCTTAAAATAGCAATCCCACTTCTAAGAATCTCTGGCAATACCATAGAGAGATGTGGTCCAGCATTCTATGCCAGAGTGTTCTTTATTAACATTTTTAAAGGTGGAAATAACAATGGAGATGAAGCTTTATTCAGTCAATAATTTATTTGCTATCAATTAAAATTATGTTCTGAACAATAAAGATAGGAAAATGCCCAAGTTATAATATGACATAAAAAAATTAAACTATAGCCCAACCTCAATTAGGAAAGAAAGAAAATGAATACGAGAGATGTATGAACAGGGAATTTAAAAAGTGAAACCCCTCCTAAAATGCTATTAATGGTCATTTCTGGATGATGAGACTCCATGGGCTACACTAGTTCTTTATGATTTTCAGGTCTTTCCAAATTTAACACAAATACAGAAGCACTGTAAACTTTGTAGAAGGATTTTACTCCTTGTTTTCATAAGCAATTTTCTTTCTAGTAAACCCCTAAGTGCTTCATGATGAGAATAGGTTCTGAGAAATGTATCATCAGGCAATTCCAATACTGGGCATGTAGAAATGTACTTATACAACCCTACATGGTCTAGCCCACTGCATACCTAAGAGGTGAAACAATATAATCTATCATATATGTGGCCTGTCATTAACCAGTATGTTACATGGCACATGGCCATATATCTATGAACTAAGTAGGTGCCTGTCTGCCCTTTTATCCCCAGAGCCTTGTTGGAATTCTTTTTTTGTTATCCCGGTTAAATAAGGATCAGGATAAACAAATAGGCCGAATAGATGTTTATTCAGGGAGAAATAACTTACAACCTAGACAGATGAACACCAGGGAATTCCACCCGATGCTCTCATGTCCGAGTCCCTCCAGCAAGAGAGCTTTTCCGGCTCTCTCTCCGACCTCCTTCCACAGGTCACTTCCGCCCATGGCTCCACCCCCAACGGGCGTGGTTAGTGCCACAGAAGTACTATCTCACTACATTTTTGTCTTTGAGTGAGACCATGTAGAATCAGGCTAATGGAGAGGATGCTGTTTATCATGCTTTTGTATAGATAGATTTTTTTTTTTTAAAGAAGACAAAAAATGAGCTATTTTCAGAAACCTTTATTTCAATGATTATACTTTAGACGTTGGAAATTCAACTTTGGCCATTAAACCAATAAAACCTTCTAACTATCTATATGGTAACTGTTGAGAAGGTCAAACAAATTCAACCTGGGACTGTTCATGTAAAGAAATCTAAAGAATTGTCTCTCTCTCTCTCTCTCTCTCTCTCTCTCTCTCTCACACACACAATATTTTATAGTAGCCTGTGGAAACTGGGTAGACAGAGCATAAAAAAGGCATGAGAACACTGGGCAAGGAGGACATGCGCACAGCTCCAGCCAAGGAGACTATGGACATCCTGGGCAACATGACTGTGTGGGCAGTTTTTGTGTTCATGTGACACAAGCCAGGAAAGAGGAATCTTAATCAAGAAAATGCCCCCGTGGGAGTGGCCTGTAGGCAAGCCTGTAGGACATTCCCTTGATTGATGACTGATGTGGAAGGGCCCAGCTCACTGTGGGCAGTGCCACCCTGGAGCAGGTGGTCCTGGATTGGCAGAAGAAAGCAGGCTGAGCCAGCCATGGAGAGAAAGCAAGCAGTCATCCTCCATGGAGTCCTTATGAGGGCCTGCCCTTACCTCCTTCTGTGGACTGTGGTGGGGAAGTGTGAGCTGAAATAAACACTTTGCTCCTCAAGTTACTTTTCATAACAAGAGAAACCCAAACTAAGACAACAGTGAAATCACCTGCCGTTGGGAAGAGGGCCTTTCAATTGAGAAAACGCCTCCAGTAAGACTGGCCTATAGGCAAGCCTGTGGAACATTTTCTTAACTAGTGACTAGTGTGGGAGGGCCCAGCTCACTGTGAGTGGTGCCTACCCTGGGTAGGTGGTCTCAGTTGTATAAAAAAGCAGGCTGAGCAAGCCATGAGCGCTACCCCTAAGCAGCATCCCATGATGGCCTCTGTTCTGCCTGCAGGTTCCGGCCTTGGGTACCTGCCCTGATTTCCCTCAGTAATGGAGTGAGACCTGAGAGCTATAAGCTGAAATGAACTCCATCTTCCCCAAGTTGACTTTGGTTACTGGTGTTGTCTCAGCAACAGAAACCCTAACGAAAACATCATCTAAGGAAAAAGAAAGTAAGAGCGACCCTACTGGCCACAGAAAGAGTGCATTCATCACATTATAACCTGCCCTGAGCTGTACTACAACGGGAGCTGGGACTCTGAAGCCCTTAGAACCCATCAATTATGGATAACAGCTATATCGTTTGCTTTCTGCAATAACCCCAACTTCCAATTCTTCTAAGTGATAGCACTCTTGCACAAGCAAGGACGGGGGTCAGTGGTACACAGTGAACACTGACTGGAGCTGGATGAATACTGTATTATCTAGGACACTAAACATAAGAAATGTGCTCAACTCTTAAGTGTTTTGTTTGCTTAACTGCAGGACAGCCTAAAATCACATTCCTTCCTGTGAAGAGGACTGTGTCCCAGCCTCTCTTTCCTTACCCTGGAAACAAGGTAAGACACTTCATGGATAAAAATTTCAAATACTTTTTTTCTTCAGGAAATCATACATTTACATATTATCACAGCTTAAAATGTGCTCTAAAATAAAAATACTGTACACATGTGCTTAAATAATTCTAAGAAATTTTTATTGACTGACACCATTGACTGAAATATATCCACAGGAGAATGCAAACAGTTTTTGATTTAAAATGTCAGATTCCCACATAGTACTCATTACAGGTGTTTTAATTCGGGATCTGAATCTGTCTCCATACTGTAAAGTGCACTGTTATTAATTTGCAATAGTATATATAAACCTAGACGACAATTATTAAATCATTAATGTCAGAAAAATTCAAGCGGGCAGAGCAAGAGAATCACATTGGAATTAACTTATAATAGTACTGGCACCATTTTAGATTTCCTTGTATTATATCTCAAGCAAAATAAGACAAATGTCAAAACATCTGATGTCCTGGGGCTGCTTCCCTAATTAAGTAATGTAATTATGAGGTTCTGTATTTTGCCAGGGTACACATCATCCCTTCTGCCAACAGACCTTCACTGATCCATGAAAGCAAGACTGAGGCAAAGTGATGATACAGCAACCTGATAGAAAAAGCAGTAGGGCATTCACTTTTGATTTCTTCCAGAGGGTTCTTGGCTTCTGCGAGGAGAAAAGGTCTACCAGAAACCCCAGTGCTCTTATTATGATCTCTCTCCCTTCCCTGGTATTTGCTTAAGAAGTGATTAGTCAGACTGGCTGTAGAATAAAGTCACTGAGTCCTCTCAGAAATATACTCAGGCAGTTTCTCTTCAAGGCAAAGAGTGAGGTGGCAGGAATGTGATGGCGAAGTCAGTCTTCAAGAACATCATGTAAGGGAGTCCAGCTGTGATTGTATGGTCTCTAGCTATTTATAAAGGCAAAATAAAGACGGCAAGTTAGCAAAGGGAACAAACCTCGGGAAAGGTCTAGAAACATGCAATGGCAACAGGCATACCACACGCTGTACCCACACACAGGGCGCAACGGGAGCACTCAGGCTGCTTTTCTTGCTGTGTAACGATGTTAGGATCTAGGCTGGTCACTTAACTTTTATTTTATTTATTTATTTATTTTTAACATTTATGAAGGAGGAAGACTTCTAAGTATTACTGTCTTAAGTGTACTCAGCTATTTCTTAGTAAATTATCACCACACGGTAAGACTTTAAAGTCTGGTAGTTAATGAAATACATTTTCCTGGGGTACAAAAAAAAAAAAAAAAAAAAAAAAAAAATCAGTATTTGGAAAGACAAATGAAATATAAATAAAATATAGATCACTAAAATCTGGCAGCTTCCTTCTACCCGTGGGCCCAGCCACTGAAGTACTTCAGTGATCTGTATCTGATGACCAATGGCTACAGGGGCACTCAGTGCCCTGCTCGGTTTTCAGAAGGCACTAATCCCAGTCTTTAATTAAAACATTCCATTTTCTTTGTGATTTAGTTTTCAGATTCTCTTTATCTTGGCTCTGCCTGGAAGCTTCTGTGAGATACAAGTGTTTACAGGAGTTTAAAGAATTTGACCATATAATAAGGCATTCAAAAACAAAAATGTGTAAAACCAGGAAGTGTTGGGAAATATCTACATTCAGAAAACATTAAAAAAACACAGACCTTGTTGTAGAAATCGAACAGCTCCTTGTGATTGAATTCTACTAGAACCTTCTCCAGGTTCTGTAAAGAAGAAAAACAATGGGGAAAATGAATTCAGTTGTATGAAATTTACATCGCATTTTTCACTCTCCAGCCAGCATAAGAATATGGGATTCCTAGAGCTCACAAAGTCACTTGGTAACACTGGACCTGAATGAAAGGTTTCAACTCTACAGGGACAATGACTCAACAAAGGTTAATAAAATATATGCTAGCAAGAGAACAATTTAATTACCTTTTTCTTTTCAAGACAGAGATAATACATGAGATTATATTTCATCTTTCTCAGCAGTCCACTTATAATCTAGTAAATACCATTATGCAGACCCTGGAGGTGGCATATCTGATTGAACTCACCCAGCCATTAATGGCTCACATGGGCCCAGCCTTTGCCTCCAAGTACTACCCTGACAGTCACCAGCTTAACATGCTAAGATTGTTGCCCTCCTTAATGTACAAGCGCAGCAAATGCCAACAGTTAACATGACAGTTTCAAAGTCAGGGCTTAGTCCTCTTAGATTCACCTCATATGCTTTGGTGAAACCGTTCTCTGTGCTGCAGAGAAACACTGTATCTACAGTGATGCAGTTAAGTGGATCCCCGACCAATGCCACTGTACCCTACCCAGCGGAGCACCAATCCACAGCATTGCCAAGTACTGCCAAAATGGGCTTACTTTAGCCACAGTTCCCCTGAGGAAGTGAAAACAATGGCAGAATGTAAGAGTCTGCCACCCATGCTGCTCCCTCTGCTTTCCCTCATGGTACAGAGTGAGCATCGTGACTGAGGGGTGGGGAGCTGCTGTAAACAGATATTAATGATGGTACCTAACCCTGGTCAATTTCACAGCATCAACTCAGTTCTCTGCTTCCATGTTGTTCTTGTGAAAAAAAAAAAAAAATCTCTTTGGACGGTTTCCATTATAACAGAGCCAAACTTTTCAAGCCAAGCTATCTCCAGCTAACTCTTGGGTCAGTGGGGCTATGTTCAGAAGCAGTACCCCCTCTTCATGACACCCAAGCACACAGGATCAATTTATGCAATTCTTCTCTTACACACGGGAGCCTTAGTGAATGGGAGCCTGGGTAGCCCAATCCTTCAGGAATGGTGTAAAGTATGAAAGTCAAGAACTGTATTAGAAAAGTTATTCAGATAATCAGCCACACATTATTAAACATGCAAAAGTCTAGCCAGAATGAAGTTAGAAGGGGGTCTACCCTCATAGTTATATATCAAAACATATGAGGAAAAATGGAAAACAACTGCGTGAATAGAATAATATATTTACATAACCCTAAGCCCAGTAATAAGGTTGTATTTTGCTTTGTTCTGTTTCAAGGTGGTGTTTCCTAAAATGTTACATGAAGAAAAGGAATAATGAAGCATGCTTCATTAAACTGTGACAGTGTGTGGCACACTAGACAATATGAAGTCCTCCTCCTTCTACAAAGGTACTGAACAATCAAAACACAGACCAAAATGTCTGTAAGAACCTTAGATACATTAGTGCATGCCACTGGAATAACTACTACGGAAAAAAAAAAAATACAGGAAATGACAAGTGAAGCTATGTGGAGAAACTGGAACCCTGCACACCAGTAGTGAGATTACAAAGCGGTACAACTGCCATAGAGAAGTCTGGGGCTAGAGAGGCGGCAGGGTGGTCAGGAGCACTGGCTTTTTTGAGTTCAGCTCCCTGCAACCACTTCAGGTGAGTTACAACTGTCTGTAACTCCAGCTCCAGCAGACAATGACCTCTCCCAGCCTCCAAGGGGACCTGCACTCCTCCCCTGCAAATATGTAATTAAAAATAAAAATCTTAAAAAGAGCAAGAAGGTTCCTCAAAAAATTAGATCTAGAAGCTGGAGTTATGAGTGTTATGAGTCACACTGCTTTCAAAGAAGCCAAGCTTGGTCCCAGTAAAATGGAGGTTACCAAGGATGTGCGGGGTGGAGGGTAGTATTTTCTTTATAAAAATATGTACAGAGATTCAGATGCAGGTGGAAAGGATCTGGATGTCATTTTACATTAAGAACATGATGAGTAATTTTAACTGTGTATTCAAAGTGGTTAAGGTGGTACATTTTATGTCCTATTTAAAAATTATGTATGTATGTATGTACATATGTATGATGTTTTGCATGCATGATGTTTATGTACCATGTCCATATCTGGTGTCCCTGGAGGATAGAAGAATGTGTCTGATCTCCTGGAACTGGAGTATCAGACAGCTGTTAGATGACAGGTAACTGCAGGGAATATAAGCTGGGTACTCTGGAAAAACAGCCAGTGTTCTATTGTTCAGCCATCTTTCTAGCCCTGTCTTTTAAAAACAAAACAATTTAAATCTAAGTACATGCATGGGTATGTGTACACACAATTTTGTTTTGCTGTACTGAAACGTTTCAACATAGACAGAACATTGATGCCTGAAGTAAAACATGCAGAGAGCCCATGCCTGTACCCAGGCTAACTCCCAGTATGCACTGCCACTGCCCTTCTGTTACAGTGGCTTAGAGGAGCCCAGAGAGAATATGGACCTGGCAAATTTTATATGTATGGTGACAAGCTGGTTTGTAGAGAAGTAAGAATTGAGCTTAGATGTCTAAGACAAAACACAAAGGATGGCTGGCCTGGGCAGTTCCATACACTGTCATGTTCTGATATGAAATTCCACAGAATCCAAGAATTTTAAATTAAAGTCTTTTCCAGACATCATGAAACTACTTTACCAAGTAAAGAAAAAGGAATGTAGTGCTGTGATAAAGGTGTGTGACACCACTGCCCAGCAAAAATCTAATTCTTAAAAGCAACGGCAATTACCAAAGACTTCAGGTTAAGAGCGGCGCAATTCTATTTACAGTCAATAGCTCAATTTTGCCTTCCTTTGAAAACTGATTAGAATGGGCCAAACTGTGGACAAAGCAGCCATGAGGCTACCGATTTAGTTCAGGTAAGAAATGATGACTTGATCTAATGTCTGCAGTGACAGAGAAAAGTGAAAACAACAACAACAAACCGTGACACTGCTTGTAGGTAAAAGAAACAGCCCCATGGCCATCAGGGGATCATAAAGGGATAGAGAGATGAAGAATGGCTGCCAGTTGGCTGCAAAGAGATGTTAAAGGGACAGAACTGAAATCAGCAATAGAAAGGCAGCAGATTCAGAAGGTAGATCAAATGCATACTCCAGACAAGGGCTCAGGATGGCAGAGATCACCCAGAAAATACAGAAATAAGTCTGGAAAGGATAGCCAGGTAAGGGACAAACTTGGGAGTCACTGATACCAGATGAGACTGCCTGGAAAAGAATGTAGTGCAAGAAAAGAGGGTGCCCAGGGCTCGATAATTAGGGTACACAGGTCCTGGATAAATACCAAGTAGCCCTAGTATCACAATTCTCCCTAAAATCTATTTAGAAGTGTGCAGTGGTTATTTATTACATTATAAAATGAATCAGGAAATTAGTATACAAACAGGCAAACCGGGTGGATTGTTTTGAAATATGCCTTCAACCTTTCATTTTCCTGTAAAACCCAACTGATGTCACTAGTGTTGTTAACTAGACGGATGGAGACTGGAAGATGCCTTCTCTCCCTCTCCTGTCTTCTACTTGTAAGATTACAGCTAAAAAAAAATCCACTTAGGAAATTCATTATTTCTATTGTCTGGGCTAATCTTATGCATTAATATACTGAACATAGAATTCTGTACTTGATCTGAAAACATAGCAAAGTATTCTGCCAACATCTTGAGAAAGATCAGTTTTCTATTCTTCTTCATTTTTAATTTGTAAGCTTATCCACCAGAACTTGGATAATGTTGCACGTATCCATTAGCAAAATTCCCATGGAAATAGAATTCAGTAAGGTCTTCAGAATGATCTAACTTGATGAAAGATGACACTAAAAATATCTTCTGCTTTCCCATTAGCAAGGAACACAAATACATTTTCAAAAGAGAAATGCACCAATTTTGTCGCAAGTTATCTAAGCAGAAACAATAAAAATATCCCAGATAAGAATTAAAATTTATATTGCTTAGCTTTCCAATCTAAATTGAATATCAAAATTAGAGATGATACAATTATCCTTTTATTGAGAGTCACAAAGGCAGAATACTCCTGCAAGGGAAAGGCTACCAGCTCAGTCGGACACATTGCTTGGTTTCTGGACAGGTTTTCTTTTTGGCTAAGGAACATAGGCAGAGAGTATGTAAGTAACATTCTACCCTACCAAAGGAGGGCATCGAACAAACACCATTAAGTATCATTCACTAAGTAAAATCTCTGTAGATTAATGGCTATAACTATATGCAACTATAGATAATTCTAATATAACGCCAGCATATTTACAATTAGTGGTTCACTGTTTTCATTACGTATTATTGTTCAAAAATGACTGACACAATGTCAGCTCTTAACAGACCAAATAAAGCTATTAATTCTATCTATATGTACAAGCCAATGGACATTTCTCTCACCCACAGCATTTGATCATTCAAGAAACTGAGCTGTGTATTTATTATTGACAGAAGCTTCAACTCCTACAACTGTGTTTGTTTTATGACTTAAGGATGCTAAGAGGTACATCTGCATCAGCAAACCAGGCCTCTGAACTGAGGTGGTTAAAATACAAAATGTTAGTTAAAAAGGATCATGAAGAAACCTGCTCCATGAAGATAAAAGAATGGGCACAAATGACAGAGATGGGGCCATTGTCACCCTTGCACTGTGTCACATTGGTGGCAGTAGGTGGTGCAGACTTTGATTTGCATGTCAAGATGGTTCAGAGTGGGGAAATCTCCTTCCCATGCACATATACTATCATTCCCACTTAACAAAGAAATACACACGAACTAGGATGAGATGAAATAGACAATAAATATAGGTCTTGAGGTGTCTAGCCATCTTAAGTAAAAAAGAAATATAATGTAAAGCTAAAGGTGTCAATTTCCCAAAAATATGCTGAAAAATTCAATGAATCATCTTAGCTTTGATAATAAAAACAAAACAAATAAAA